TGAATGAGTCACAAGAAGTACTGAACGTTTCTTTTTCACGAATTTTCTTGTACACTCCGTGTGGTAATATATTGACAATATACTGTCCGATATCCTCACTCTGACTTTTTCCTCATCTCATTCAAATAACCTAGACGACGATCGTTGAGCAGAATTGTTGATAGAGTTGCAAGAAAACCTTTTCTTGTGATAAAATGCTGTTCAAAGCCGTCTTTATCGTGGTGATAATCGCCATGTTTTTGGGTGTTGACGGTAGAGATGACGAGCACAACGGTGTGGTAAAACGAGGCACCTTGAACAAGACAAACCAAGACTTACAGGCACTGAGCGATGTTGTGAAAGCTTTGAAAGAAAGGTAGGAAAATAGTATAACAGCAGTTAAGTATGATTAACTGATTCTATTTAATGCAAATGGGAAAATTATTCATAATAAGATTTGACGTTTGTTTTTGATTTGCCTTTAAATGAAAAATATTTTACAGCTTTTAATCAATCCTGTTGTTAGCGATTTAATGAGATTTATAAACAAATACTTTCTTAAAAAGCATTCATTGACATCAATACTATATTAAACTACTTTAATTTTAGTATCTCCCTCGCATAAATTGAAAAACATTAGCAGTCAACAGAACAAAAACAAGAAGCTCTTGGTCACTGTTTAAAATTACAATCATTATACAAAACTTTTACGGTAAGCCCAGCGACTGAATTTCAGGCCTCTAATCGCTACGTTGACATCAAATTCTCCTCAGGATCCTACTCAGGGACTATCTTCTTCTTGTGATGACCTTTTTTTCACACGGAGACAATTAACTCAGATATGATTATGAGATCGAGATAAATGCCTTGTACGTGTTACTTCGTCAGCATTTGATTATTAATTCAAAAGAAATTCGATTCGTACTGAGCATTCATAGAACTTATTCTGATTGGTTTAATTTAGGATGAAGATTCTGGAAACGCGACAAGGTCAGGTTTACGACTCATTTCAATAAGTTCAGCTTTTTTATGATATGAGCAGCGTTTAAAGGCCAAATTTAATTTCTAATGATTTGTTTTAGGTTGTTGTAAGGACGGAGCACCGGGTAAACCAGGTAAACCATAGAAACAAAAAACGCGAGTGAGAATGTAAAAGTTAGAGTGCAGAAACAAACAAATGATAGCTAGTGAAGTGGTTTAATAGGGATTACATCGGTTACACACTCCATTAATTGCCATTTAAAGTTATATTTTATAATTTTGATTTAGAGGACCTTAGAGGACCAATTTTTTAGTTCATATCAGTGGACGGATCGAATTCAGAATGTTACGAAATAGACGAAATAAGAAAAGAAAAATAGGAAAAATATTAAATGGATAGATTTAAAGTGCACCTTCACGATTTTTTTTTATCTTTAAAATGAAAATTGAGGTTAATGGAAACGTATCTGTGAAAGAATTTTTCATTTTTATAAAAAAGCAAATTTTTGGTGAGCTTACAAACGTAGGAAAATGTCCACTTTGAGCTCTTTTTTGGGTTCAATACCGGGAAAGACTGGGACTGACTCTGACGTCATCCCAGRACWASGCATTTGTTGTTATCGAAGCTTGACAGTGGATTTTATCGCGAGTCAACTCCAAAAATCTTATTTAACATCGATTTTTATGCTCTTTCGCGAATGAAATGCCCATTGAGTGCGTTGTTGGTGGCTGCAGTAACAGGCCATTATATTTCTTATTTATCTATTATATCTAAATTTCCATTTCTTTACTTTTTAAATAAAGGAAGTCATTACATGTAGCTACCCTAGCCACCTTCCAGGATCTTCACAATTGTAACCCAACCTCCTCAGCTCCCTGTCCAACTTCCAATCTTATCTTGATAAAATATAGTCGTGAGCAAAGACAATATGAAGGATACTCGAATAAACGTTTGATAGATTGGCTGTGATGTAGATAAGCTCATTTCATTATACTGATTGAGCCTGATTTGTGTGAAAATCTAAAGGAAAAGATGGGCGTGATGGTATACCGGGAAAAGATGGCGCACGAGGAAAAGATGGCGTCGGTTTACCAGGTAACATGAGATACTAAATTTTCATTTTTTAACCTAATTGATTTATTGAACAGGATTAAAAGAAAAATAAAAGAAATCAATATTACAATTCAACAAGGTCATTTAACTCTATCCGGTGCTTTCAGGACGAGATGGTCGTGATGGCCAACATGGCACCCCAGGACGACGAGGTAACTACCTGTCTTTTCAAAAACCCGTAGAGGATATGGACGGGGTTGCAAACATTTATATTTCTCCCTAGCTTTTTTGTCTTTTTTAATATCATGCTGTTCTACAGGCTTTTTCAAAACTTTAAAGTTTAAGAACCGTATAGGAAAAGGAAAAAGGAAAAGGTATTGGGTGCTAATTGTCCTTCATGGCAACACGGGTGCTGAATTGCGAAAGACGCAGCTCAACGCGCTCTCAAGTCGAAGTGCTTTATTATAGACACATTTTACATACACTTAGACGTAGGCGTGCTGCCGGCTAGTTGCTTCCTTTACATAGCAACGTAACGTCGACTGATCGCGGAGCACAGCAGATATAGAATGGTTTGTTTTGACAGAGGGAGGAAAAACCGGAAAAGACCCGGAAAAACTAAGAAACCCAAATCACAGATGGCGTCCCGAACGAGATCGTCGAACAGGGTCCACAGAGGTTACAAGACAGTGCTCTCACCGCTCGGGCACCCTTGCTTCCCTAGTTTGGATCAAAAACTATACCATCAGAATAGTTAAGGGCATGGAAATTTCAAATGGACGTCGACAACAGCTTTTTAGTTGGAAGTTGGAAAAACAATGAAGAAAGAATTAAATCAAATCAAAAAGCGAAGAAAAGCTGTCTATGTGAGCAATGCTATAATACGACATGCATGCTTAGGAAAATCGATTCCGTTCCCAGTCCTTTCCTAGATTCTGTAAATTGACAACACGCGTGCCATTCAATATATGTCAATAGCCATTAATAATTATTGTTATAAAACTCATTAATATTCATAAGGCAAAACACAATAGAAATCATAGCCCATGAAGAGAGTTGTATATTACATACAGATCGCCCGCTCATATTGTATATATTACTTACAGTTGTATCATTATAATCGATATCATACTGTTATGTTCAGGAAGGCCTGGATTGAAAGGTCCACGTGGTGCTCAGGGACTAAGGGGCCTCCCTGGTCCTAAAAGTGGTGGTGTTCAATACATACGCTGGGGAAAGACCTCGTGCCCTTCTAGTGCTAAACTCGTCTATAAAGGTAGATTCAATAATTATCATAATCACGTGATCATAGTGTTGTTGTATTGTAAGAAGCTTTTAAAGTGCAACTGAACCCTTTTAGAAAATCATTTTTAACAAAAGGCATGATGGTAATCATTGTCTTGAAGAAAAACAAGTTGTTTGAATTCTATTTTCTGAGTTAAAGGCATTTGAAAATTGAAAATGCTAATGAAGTGACGTCAATCAAGGGATTGTGCTGGAGGTTTTTCATTGTTCGCGATATCTTGTGTTCGGTTGATGAAATGGTCAAATCATCAATAACAGTGATATTCAAGAACTGGAAATGTTATCTCCGATATGAAAAAAGAGTAATGTACTTTTTTCGTGATTTTGCATATTAAATCATTCCTTAGCAGACGTCACTTAATTTGCATTTCCAATTTTCAAATATTTCTAAATCAGAAGATATAAATTTGAATGTTTTTTCCCTTTGCAGAAGTGCTTACCAGCATGTTCTCTTTCGAATGAAATGACTTTCTAGTAGGGTTCAGTTGCACTGCTTTAAGCCACTAGAGTTACTAGATTTCCAAGGCAAGGATTCGCTGCCTATCCAAAGAGATGTCTGTCATGTTAATCGTCACAGTCGTCACGAGTCAAGCTTAATTGTTTAACAGAAGTATATCAGTCTGTCCGTACGCCAAGACTTTCTAAGAGTCAAGATTGAATTCTTCTGAAACATTGAATTATAATAAGTAGATAGAGAGTCGAGCCTTGTTGCATATCAAAATATATGTTTTTGATAAATTCTCTTCATGGTTGTAGGTCGTGTAGGGGGAGAGCATTACGGCAGTACCGGAGGTGGTTCCAACTATGTATGCCTGACAGAGTCCCCCAAGTACGCGAGCTACAACGATGCATATCAATCATCGGGTTACATGTACGGTGCTGAGTACCAAACTAAGCATAGCTACAATCCATTTCCACACAATCCTCACGATCACGACGTCCCTTGTGCTGTATGCTATGTTCCAAACCGCAACACCAAACTGATGATCCCGGCAACATACGAGTGTCCCGCGGGATGGTCCAAGGAGTACTGGGGATATCTTATGGTGTCAGCCTACAGTCTCAAAAATCAGAAAGATTTCATTTGCGTTGACAAAAACCCAGAAGTCGTCAAAGGATCAGTTCACGACCACAATGGTGCATTGTTGTACACCGTTGAAGGAAGGTGTGGCTCTCTGCCTTGTCTTCCTTACGTTGAAGGACGGGAACTGACATGCGCAGTCTGTACCAAGTAAAACTGAAGCATGCGCAAAATGAACCAAGTGTTACGGTCGCATGAGCAATAATATCTTGACCAATCCTATTCAAATAAAAATATGTAGTTAATTGAATAGAAAATAAAGCTG